GAAACTACCAGCTGCTCGGCGGGAGAAAGATGAGGCTTTCTACTCCCGTAAAGATTTACACCCTCGGAAACCCTATACAGGGTCGCTATGGGTCAGAACCGACTCAATGGCACATAACAACAACAACAACAACACCATGTTGTTACTGCTAGTTGCCCTTGAATTGGTTCCCACTCCTATGTACAACAGAACAAGACACTGCCTGGTCCTCTCCATCCTCAAAATTATTCCTAGATTTGAGTCCATTGATGCAACTACTGTGCCAATACAGCCAACTCAGGATCTTTCTCTGTTTTGCTGACCCTCTACTTTACCAAGCATGAAGTCCTTCTCCAGAGTCTGGTCCCTTCTGATTACATGGCCAACATAGGTGAAATGAAATCTCACTATCCTCACTTCCAAGGAACATCCTAACTGTATTTTGTACAAGACAAATTTGCCCATTCTTTTAGCAATTCATGGTATATTCAATATTCTTCGCCAAGACCATAATTCAAATGCATTGATTCTCATGTATTCTTCCTTATTCATTGTCCAGCTTTAACAAGCATATTAAGTGATTAAAAATACTATGGCTTGGAACAGGCACATCTTTTGATGCAGATTTTCCCAATGCAATATGTCATTTGATTTCTTGACTGCTGCTTCCTTAAATACTGTCTGTGGATCCAAGTAAAATGAAATCCTGGACAACTTCACTCTTTTCTCTGTTTTACATGATGTTTATTGGTTCAGTTGTGAGGATTTTTGTTTTCTTTATGTTGAGGTGTAATCCTTACTGAAAGTTGTGTTCTTTGATCTTCATCAGTAAGTGCTTCAAGTCCTCTTCACTTTCAGCAAGCAAGGTTGTATCATCTTTGTACTGTAAGCTGTTAATAAGTCTTCCCTCCAATCCTGATGCAGTGTTGTTCTTCATATAGTCCTGCTTCTTACATTATTTAACCCAGTAATTCCACTTTTAGGTATATACTCCAAAGACTTGAAAGGAGAAAATCAAAACAGAGACTTGTTCACCGATGTTCATTATATAGCACTATTCACAATAGCCAAAAGGCGGAAACTACTTACAAGCCCATCAACAGAAGAGTGGAAAAACAAAGTGTGGTACATACATACAGTGGAATACTACTTAGCAAGTAGAAGTGAAGTTTTGATATGTGATACAGTATGGAATGAGCTTGAAGACATACTGAGTTAAATAAGTCAACCATAAAAGGACAATTACCGTATGACTTCACTTATACAAAAAGACAAGAAAAGGCAAATGTAAAGAGTCCAAAGTTTATCGGTGGTTACAAAGGGTATGAGGGAAAAGTGGTTAACAGTGATGAAAAACTCTCATTGACTAATGTTAGGCTTGCATAGCCAATTATTGTAATTATTGTAGATAAGCTGTATATCCATGAAAAGTTGAATTGGCAAAAGTTGTATGATAGATATATTTACAATACCAAAAATGAGAGTGCTTATGTACAATCAAAAACTTCATGAGTTTCAGGTCCTTGGTTTGGAGGTTTTAAGTCATGCTTTTATGGGACATCCCAGTTAATGGCCTAATATCATGTCTAGTGCTTCTGTTCTACATCCTAGTTCATTGCATGGTGTCTGGCATCTTAAAGTTTGCAAGTAACAATCCAAGGCACAACAGTTGATCTCTATTCACTTTGAGCAACAGAGGAAGAAGGAAAGTCAGGAATACAAGGAAGCTATGAACTGTGTGGTTGACTGCCTCCATGAACAACTGCCGCCTTTGCCAGGACACCAGAAAAACTGGATGGTGCCTGGTTACCATGACTGAAAATTTTTATCAGAGAATTTAGAGAAGAATCCCAATCAAAAAGGGGGATATGCA